TTAAGTCAGACAATATTTTCAGGGACCGGCATTTAAGGTGTGGCGGAATTAATACAACAAAATAATATGGTATGAGCTGCATGAAAACTGTGGTGTTTTCGAAATATAATAATAAACACAAGGAACGTCTAATCTGGTCGCAACACTCTTATCGCTCTGGTAATGTTTAATGCCTTCAAAATACGATACAACGCAAATTCAAAGTGCATGAAAATGACGACTCACCACAGCACCGAGCTTGATTTTCTGCAATCCGAATTTTATGTCAACGAGTTCAATAGCATATCAAATACACAAAAGAAACAAATGAAAAAGGTAATTGTGTGGAACCGGTTGACATGAAAACATTGCGTGAAATCAACATTGAGGGCTCGGTTATATCCCGGATGGTTTTAATCTGTTTATAAAAACATCATCACGCTCCGCGTGGCAGTGTTGCCGCCACAGAGCTCGTGTTATCGACTTTGATGCGGGTACAATGTTTTGTTTCGTGTTGGAGATTGCATCTTTGGGATTGCGTAATGCGTGGGAATAAGGTTGGGCAATGGCGGTGGGAAGTGAATAAGTGCAAATTACTTTGTGACTGAACTTGATGAACTTTTAACTTTATTTTACGTTTGTTTTTTTCACTTTTTTATTTTCATACTTAAAAAAAGGATATCTGTGTTTTCTACTGGCGTTAAAATAGGCTTGTTACACTTTCATAATTTAAAAAGACAAGAGTGGTAAAGTCTGTCTTGATGGATTGATACCTTAGGGTATTTTAAGGCGGAAAAAGCAGCGACAGCAAGCGAATCAAAGTACTTGAATCACCAATGGTCTCATTAAACAGAACTATCTGGTGGGGAATGCATTGTGTCTTGATAGCCTCAAAAATGATCAGTCTGAAAAAATACATAGGCTACATGAATAGTGTGTGTGTGTGGGGGGGGGGTTGTTTTTTAGTTGTCATCCTTAGTTAATTCAGCATTTTTTGTTCGCCAGATGAGAGCAAAGATATGGGATTGCGTTCAAAGTCAAACCTGCGCAAGCTAGCTCTTAAACAACAACATGTGACATTAAGTTAAAATGGGAAAATATTGTATGTTGTTTTTTGTTTTTCTTCCCCAGGGGGGATTTAAGTAAAGGAGTTGAATTTGTTTTACTTTTCCCGCTCTAATTTTACACGTTTCTACGAGAACTGCACAAGTACATTCACCACATGAAATATGCTGACTTTGCATTTTGTGTGTGTGCAAAGTGGAGCAAAATAATACGGCAAGACTGTGCGAGTCAAAGAAGTGTGTTTATGATGCAATCATTGTGTGACTAATCCATCGTGTTATGGGGTTCAAGGTATCAGAGGAGCATGGCGTTGTTCAAACGACGAAATTTAGGATGGATTTTGCCGGACTTCCAAATTGTCCCCGAAGAAAATGACACACAGTGAGCACTCACGAAATCGCAGTTTTTTTGTTTGCACCCTCGCAATAATGCAGCCTTCTCAAGTTTTTTTTTAAAAAAAGGGTTTGTAACAGTATAGAACGTTTAGCTAGTAGACTTGGATGACATTATATGGTTTGGGTGAATATTTTAGTGTTTAGATATTCTGTTCTGCTCGAGTCATGGAATTTTATTTTGTTATATGGGCCAATTTTTAAACACTATTTCGTCAATGTACATATACAATGTACCTATATGAGCTGCTAATGCGATGCTAACGTCATTTATGCTACGTCGCCCCCCCCCCCCAATAACACTGCAGGTGTCGTCAACATTTGCATTTGGCTTCAGCGTGATCATGTTTCCATATTAGTCTGAGCAAGGCATAAAAATAGCGGTTCTTCACCCGGCCTAAGTCACGGAGGGGAACTTGGTATTAGTCAACTGTTCATGTTGCGATCAGTTTTCTCATACCCTCCTTCTTATACATAGTACATTTCTCCCACAAGCATTTGGGAGATTTGATATGTACTGTGGCTACATTTGCGAATCAGGGTTGATTTTTTTTTGGCCATAATTCTCAAAGGTCATTTGACACAAAACCAACACTGCTTATCAACAAACGAACGTCATACCTAGAATGGAGCATGGTGGTGGCAGCATCCTGCTCTGTTTGTCTTCATCTGGAACTGGGGCTTGAGCCAACCTGGAGGGTTTTATGAGCAGCTCCAAAAATCAGTTAGCGCACAACCTTTGGGTTTCTGTGAGAAAGAAAATCAATGTCAGGAAAAGCAATTATTGATAATAACATCAAAGTATTACAAATAACTTTAGCGGGAAATAAACCATCTATTCATTATCGGATATTTTACAAAAACTAAATTGGACTATTGTGAGAAAATATTGTCTGGAAAAAATATTTAAGAAAGTCTGTGTTGAAAACAAAGTTTTATCAAATGTAAAAAAAAAAAAACAAGAACAAAAAAAAAAACCCATTCAGTCGAACTATTATAAAAAATACATAAGCCGGATAAACGTTGACATTATACATTATTTTCTGTCTGTCTCACAGGCGACAGCAAGCCCAGCATCACCCCAACGGGACCCCACCTGGTGGTCCCGCTCAACGCGCCCTTTGACCTGCGCTGCCAGGGCGAGAAGGAAATCCAGTGGCAGCGGGAGGAGCGGCCCAAGGTGCGGGGCGAGCGGCGCACGGAGGGCTCGTCGGCCTTGCACGTGGCCCGCGCGCTGCCCGTTCACATGGGCCGCTACGTTTGCCTGGAGAGGACGAGCGGCGAGCAGGCGTCCATATACGTCTTCGTCAACGGTAAATGCACATTTCACTGCCAAAAAAATATATATATATATATATTAATTGTTGGCGAATGAAGCAACTTTTTTTTTTTTTTTTTTTTTTTTGGTCAAAACATTTACATCCCAACTTTATTCTTGCAACATTCCTAATAAACGCTCCACTTCACATCAATTCTTATCGTCATAAAATGACCCAGTGAGGAGGCGTATGCGGGAAGCCGTGGGCGTGCTCGTACGTGACGGCGTTTGCGCGGCGGCCCCCGGCGCAGGTAGAAAGCACACTTGACTGTTTTGAACTGCACGTTCCCTTTGGCCCGCAGCCATCGCTTCAAGGATGATATCATGTGTTGCTCAGTCCTCGTGTAGAGCACTCCTTCCTCACAGGCAGCAAACACAAAAGCGCTTTTTCATGAGGGAGGCCAAGACCTGGACCTTTAACAGCTTTTTAGAAAAGCTTTGATATGAAGATAACAACAATTAGAACTACATGACGCTACACTTGTGAGGAAAATCTTGAGAAGAAACCGATCAATACCAACATTGTTACTGGCCAGTGAAAAGTGAACTTGGAGTCACATTTTTCGGCTTTGGACAACCAATCGGAGGACAGAGAAATGCCGACTCGGTCAACATCCGACGCTGCGGTCCGGCGAGGACACCTTTTGGAATCCGTTTGTTGAAAGAAACAACCCCAGAGTTGAAGTTACATTGGCCACAAAATCTCCTCAATCTGAATCAGCATAACTGATTCTGAGAGCCCTTGGCGGATTAGACGGACAAAAATCTGAGTGGACCCAAAAAAAATCCGCTAGTTCTGGAAACAGAGCTGTGAAGAGAAATAGTACAAAACCAAGATCAATATCAACGCCCGCGGTTGAGATTCTCGCGTCACCCAAATCACATTTCATTTTTCTCCAGGAAAAATCCAAATCACGTTCAATCACGAATTTAAACTCATTCTGATTATTCCATGCCTCGTTATTAATTAAAATGGCACCGCCCCCCCCACCCCCTCCCGAACTTTTGTAATACTTCAAACAAATGAATGTGGTTCTATCATCTTCCCAAACTCTTTTTCAAAGGTCTTCGAGCCATGAAGGAGGCAACAAATCAAACGATAAACTGACTAGTTTGCAAAAATAGGTGGGAATGAATCAATACGCACGCTAGTTACCTTCGTGGCTGACTAGTTCCTTCCCGTTTTATTTTTGTTGGGTTTTTTTTTTTTTGGTACAACAAAACAGAAAAATATTGGGTTGCTTTCCGAACCCGCTTGTTGGGTAGCTGTGGATTTTGAGCAGAACCCCAGGTTGGATTCATAATTTAGACTCAGATTATCCCCATTGGACGCAGCACCGGGTTAGCGATTCACCCGATGGCTGTGGATTTTGAGCAGAACCCCAGGTTGGATTCACCCGATCCGGGTGACTTGTAACCCAGCAGTTGTATGAGTGCAGAGTGATTCAAATGGATGAAACATAACGATTTGAAACGTCTCAAGTGGATGAAATCAAACAAGTAGGAAAAAAAAAAAATGTGCTCACTCATCCGGCCCCTTTCACCCTGCGCTTTTGTTTTCTTCTGGCAGATCCGAACAACCCTTTCAGGAAATCGATGGTGTTCAACATCCTCACCCGCGTGGGCGCCGCCGCATCCATCCCCTGCCTGGCAACCGATCCCGGCCTGTCAGACCTGCACCTGGAGACCTGCTCCGGGGCGCCCCTGCCCCCCGACCTGCGCCTCTCCGCCAGCCTGGAGCAAGGCGTGGTGGTCCGCAACGCGCTCAAGTCCTACGAGGGCTGCTACGTGTGCGCCGGCACGCTGCGGGGGCGGCGCGTACGCTCGCACAACTACCACCTCACCGTCAAGCCAGGTTCGCCGTGGCTCTGTACTTTTCACGTTCCTTTTTCCGTCACCGCATGATACGGTTTCACCCGGGCCGAGGACTTCCTCATAATTGTTTCAATCAAATTATAAACTACGGAAATTTTCACTTTTCAAAACGTATGAGTAGCCTGTCGGGTGATTGATGGTTAATGATTCACATTTCAGAGAAAAGGGAAGTGGTTTGTTTTATGCTTTACAACATTGACTAGATGAGCAAAATTTACAATTCGTTCCCCATCATCCTTCAAAGACCGACAGATAGGAAACTGAAAATGTATTGGGAACGCAAGACGGTTCCAAAATGTATGAAAGTAGACATACGCGAACTTAAGCACAGCATCAAAGTATTTGCACGCGGTTCTTTGGTGCTGATTCGTCCTCGTCCCCCCTGTTGTAGTGCCCGTGGCGCCCCCCGTCATTGAGATGCAAGAGCCCGAGCGGGTCATCCTCACCCTGAATGAGGCCGTGGCCCTCACCTGCAACACCACCAACGTCAACGGCGAGATCAAGCTCAAGTGGGTCGCCCCGCCCAGCTCGGTGAGACACTTTTGCAGTTTTCCACCAGTCTGCATGCGTCCGTTCTGTGGCATTTTCCGGAGAAAGCGCGGCCAGAAAACAAATTTCAATGGGTCAGTTTGACCCACTCGTTTACATGCCACTAAGACTTTGTCTCGATCTCATGAATTCGATTTCTCACCATTTCAATCGATATTGTTAGATTAACTCATTCAGTACGAGCCAAGTCTAGACCAAGTCTGAAAAGACGTTTAAAAACGTCTTTGGGAGTGAATGAGTTAAGACACTTAAATGGCCCTCAAATCCCGATTTTTTTGTGTGACTTATTTGTAGGCCAACATTCTAAATCGGGCCCCAAAAAACCATGCCGCCCAAAAAAGCTTCTAATAATGTAGAATATATATATTTTTTTTTACTTGGGATGTACAAAATGCAGTGTTTTCCTCTTCTACATTGAAACTCCTGTGCCTTGGGAATGAATGTCCAAGGCCAGGGGTGTCCAAACCACAACCCGGGGGCCCGTTGGCCAAACTCCAAAGCGTTCCGTGAATCCTTTCCGCGCAACGGCCCCTCGGAGGAAAACGTTTGGGCACCCCCTCGTTCAAAGGTCTGGACTGTGTGTGTATATGGCATGTGCGTTGCGTGTGTGTGTGGCGTGTGCTGCGTGCGTGTCAGGTGCGGCTGGCGAGGATAGCCGTGCAGACGGGGTTAATCTCTAGAGATTTCTGGGCGTTGACAGGGTGCCGTCTGGTATCCACAGCAACCAGCAAAGGTTGACACTGCCTCGCGTATCCGGGTGGAGCACTTGGACCACATGCGCAGCGCCACCCTGCGCGTGGGCGCCGCCGCCCGCCGCGACGCCGGACGCTACCGCTGCGAGGCCGAGAACGAGAAGGGGGTCAGCGTGCGCGCCGTGTGGCTCGACGTCTACGGTGAATTACCGACGGACGCTGACGATACTTTTCCTCTCTCCATCATACATCCTTTCCTCTACCCTTCCTTCAATCCTAACTTCTTACTTTCCTTCCTTCGGTCATACATTAATTCAGTCCACACTTTTTCCTTCCTTCCATTCCTCTTTCCTTCCTCCATCATGTCTTCCCTGCCTTCCGACATCTTTCCTGCCTTCTTTCCTTCCTCCAGTCCTGTGTTCTTCCTCTATTCAATCCCTTTGTCGTTCTTTACTCCTCTTTACTGCCTTCCTTTATCCTGTCTTCCTTCTTTCCTCCCTTCTGACATCATTCCTGCCTTCTTTCCTTCCTTCAGTCCTGTCTTCTTCCTCTATTACTTCCCTCTGTCATCCTTTACTCCTCTTTATAGCCTTCTTTCATCCTGTCTTCCTTCTTTCCTTCCTTCCGACATCATTCCTGCCTTCTTTCCTTCCTCCAGTCCTGTCTTCTTCCTCTATTCCTTCCATCTGTCGTTCTTTACTCCTCTTTACTGCCTTCCTTCATCCCGTCTTCCTTCTTTCCTCCCTTCCGACATCATTCCTTCGACATTATCCTTCCTTCCATCCTTCTTTCTTCTCTCTATCATTCTTGTATTCCTTGCTTTCTCTCTTCTTTCCTCGAAGAAGTGGAGTGAAAACTGTTGTTTGATTGGTTGCCACTTTTGGGGAGCCAATGTGTCGGGTTGAGAGCTCTGTATTCCGCTGGGTCGTTGTCATTGCGAAGGCAGAACTTGTGCTACTTTTCCATGTCATATGATAACGTGCGGATTGTCCCCCCCCCCCGCCCCCCCTTCAGACAAAGGATTCATCAACGTCACGTCAACAAGCAACAGGACCATCCACGTGCGAGCGGGCGATAGCTTATCCCTGGTGGTGGAGATGGAGGCTTACCCCAGGCCCCGCGCCTTCTCCTGGAGCTTCATGGCCCACGAGCTGAAGAACAACAGCGACCACGTCATCACCACGCAGAGCGCACGCAACTACAGGTGCGAAGATCCCCTCCACACAACCGGCGAGGGTGGAATTTAGCATGGAGTCAGCCGCGGGCCTCGCAGCTCCTTGACAAATAGGGAGAAGGTTAAGAGTGCCTCGGGTTGCCAAAAAAACAAAAAAAAGAAAGACGTCGGCATTGAAATGAGTATTTGCATTGTTATTCAAGAGCACCAAGGGAAATATGACATCATATCATAATGCTGTGCATGACATGCCTCACATGTGTGTTTGTTTGTTTTTTCAAAGACCAGAACAGGATTTGACCCACCTGTTGCGGTATATGGTGGGTCAAATCGACCCAAGTGAAAATGTTTTTCAATATGAAACGTATTAAATGCAATCTACATATAAAATGAAAATGCTGCAAGTCAAATCGACACAAGTTAAAACAAACAACAACAACAAAAAAAAAAAAGTAGTTTTTGGCTTTAATAAGGGTGGGTCATATTTCCCTAACTAAACAAAAATTCAATTAAAAGTGAAGGTGAAACTACAATGAATTTTTATATAATCGTGCTAACTAACCGAACTAGCAAGGAATGCCAATATGTTTTTTTGATTGTCGGCTTTGTTGATTGTGTGACCAAAACGTCTCCCCCTGGTGTTCAGGTACAGCAGCGAGCTGAGGTTAGTGCGTCTGAAGACGTCGGAAAGCGGCGTTTACACGTTTAAAGCTTCCAATCG